GAGAATGCAGAGTTACAGTGTAAACATAGTCAAAGTCGAAGTTCCTTGTTCTGCAAGTTGTGTGCGTTATACCCGCTTAGGAATCGTCCCATATAGACATTGCGAACTCGTTTGCTCCAATAGTATCTATGTGGGATGGTAGGTAGAGATATAGATTGTGCTCACCGACGAAGTCGATGTATCTTCATCTGCCTATTGAACTCGTTATATACCCTCCAAAGTCATCTTATACGGTCATTGCAATCGTATCTGCTTCAACTGTATGCATGTCAGATACTTGACTGCAGAGTTACAGTGTAAACATAGTCGAAGTCGAAGTTTCTTGTTGTGCAAGTTGTTAGTGTTATACTCGCCTAGAAGACGTCTCATATGGGCATTGCGAACTCGTCTGCTTCGATAGTAACCATGTGAGATGATAGGATAGAGAGATATAGTGTGCACAACTATGAAGTCGATGTATCTTCATTTGCCTATTGAACTCGTTATATACCCTTCAGTGTCATCTTATACGGTCATTGCAATCGAATCTTCTTCAACTGTATGCATGTCAGATGCTAGACTGCAGAGTTACAGTGTCAACATAGTCGAAGCCAAAGTTTCTTGTTCTGCAAACTGTATGCGTTATACCCGCTCGAAAGTCGTCTTATATGGTCAATGCAAACTCGTCTGCATCAATAGTGTCAATGTATGATGATAGGATAGAGGGATATAGTGTGCAAAACGATGAAGTCGATGTATCTCGGTTCGCCTCTTGTACTCGTTATATAGCCTTCAAAGTTGTCCTTCACAGTCAATGCAATGGTATTTGCCTCAACTGTATGCATGTCAGATGCTAGACTGCAGAGTTACAGTGTGAACATAATCGAAGTCAAAGTTTCTTGTTCTGCAAGCTGTGTGCGATATACCTGCTTGGAACTCGTCCTATATGGTCACTGCAATCGTATCTGCTCCAACTGTATGCATGTTAGATGATAGACGGCAGAGTTACAGTGTTAACAGAGTCGAAGTCGAAGTTTCTCGTTGTGCAAGTTGTGTGCGTTATATCCGCTTGGAAGTCGTCTCATATGGGCATTGCCTACTCGTCTGCTTCAATAGAATACATGTATGTATGTATGTATGTATGTATGTATGTATGTATGTGTGTGGGCGGTCCGGGACCTGACGCACTTAGGCCTCCCTTTTCGGGCCCATTGTACACCCACATTCCTGGGATCGCAAGTCAGCCATGGAGAAGGCCGATCTCGCGAGCAAAAGAGACCAACTTCCTAGGCCAAATCTTCTTAACATCCTCTGGGTCCAGGATACTGCTCCCAAAATGGATATCCCTTGCTGCCACTATTGCCGGGCATTCAGTGAGGATGTGAGTAGAAGTCTCTTCATCCTCTAGGCACCATCTGCATTCTGGATCCTCCACAATCCCGATCATGCTGAGATGTTTGTTCAGGTGGCAGTGCCCTGTCAGCAGGCCCACCACCAGTTTCAGCTCCTTCCTGTTCAAAGCCAAGAGGGCATTGGTCTGTCTTCGTGACATGTTTCCTATATGGAGTTTGGACTGCCTCATTCGAGGAGCCTTTCTCCAGCTGTCCTAAACCTTTTCCGTCAGGATTTCCTTCATCTTGGAGTTGCTCCAGGATCGCGTGACCCCTAAGATTGGCTCTGGGCCAATCACTGAACCTTTCGCCCCCTTTCTGGCCAGACCATCGGCCATTTCGTTACCTGGTACCCCTGAGTGCCCAGGGACCCACAAAAGACATACCTTATTCGTTGCTGACAGCCTTTGTAGGCTATCTATGCACTCTGACACCAAGGCGGAGGTCACCCTATACGAGGTGAGCGCCTTGATCGCCGCCTGGCTGTCAGTGCATATAGTGATTTGCTGGCTGTGATAGCCCCTCTCGATATTCTCTCGAACACATGCAAGTATTGCAAATACTTCAGCCTGAAAAATCGTGGCATGTTTCCCAAGGGTATAGCAGTGATTTGCCCTTGGAGACTGCCCATAGACCCCAGCACCTGCGCATTCTTCCATCCTGGTGCCATCTGTATACCAGATGATGCCCTTGGTGGGTATTATGCAGTGCCCATTCTGTTCCCAGTCTATCCTAGTAGGAATCTTGACTTGGGGCATTTTCCTGAATCGAATGATCGGTGTTATGCTGTCCCCTTTCATACTGAGTGAGGGGTAGTCGTCTGTAATTTACTTCCAGAGGCGAGAATGTCCGTATGTTCATTCGCTCCTCCACTGGTTACAGCTTTGTAAGCGAACGGCGGCCTTCATCGCCTCATGTTCTATATACAGGTTCAGAGGCGGCAGTCCGGTCAGAGTCTCCAACGCCCTTGTCGGCGCCGTCCTCATTGCTCCTGTTATGGATATGCTGGCCAGTCGTTGAACTCTGTCGAGCTGACTCCTCGACTTGCCTGTCAGCGTCCCCGGCCACCATACGATGGCCCCATATGTTATCATTGGACGTATGAGAGCGGTGTACACCCAGTGAAGGATACTTGGCTTGAGCCCCCACGTTCCCCCAAACGTCCTTCTGCACGCCCAGAACGCTGCCGTAGCCTTCTGGACCTTCCTCTCAATATGCTCGTTCCAATTGAGCCTAGAGTCAAGAATGACTCCTAGATATTTGGTGGAGCCTTTATACCGCAGGGACTTGCCCGATAGTCGTATATCGGGGAGGTCCCCTGCCTTGCGTTTTCTGGTGAAAAGTACTACTTCCGCCTCTTCAGGGTTAGCTCTTAGCCCCGTGCTACGACACCAGCGGTCCACCCCATCCAGGGCCCGTTGTGCCTGTCTCCGACTGGGAGTGAACCCCCTACTGTCGATCAGGATGACTATGTCATCTGCGTAAGCCTGGATATAGTATCCCATGCTATGTATCTCCGATAGGAGGTCGTCCACGACGAGGCACCATAGAAGGGGTGATAGCACCCCTCCCTGCGGGCAGCCTCTTGATACAACGGCCTCCTCGAGGCTGTTTTGAAGAGTGGCTCTCACTATCCTTCTCGAGAGGAGTGCGTGTATCCACTTTATCAAAATTGGACTAACACCCCTCTCCTCCGCTGCACGACATATAGAGTCAAATGATGTATTGTCAAATGCTCCCTCAATGTCTATGAATATCCCAAGGGCAGAGTCCTTGCGATCTAACACCCCCTCAACTCTATGAACGAGTCGATGAAGAGCCGCGTCAGTACCCCTACCACTTTGGTACGCAAATTGAAGGTCACTGAGTGGTGATTCGCTCAGTGGCCCCTCTCTGATGTGACGATCTACCAGTTTTTCTAACGCCTTTAACAAAAACGATGTGAGACTGATGGGCCGAAACGATTTTGCCTGCGTGAAATCAATTTTTCCAGGCTTCGGTATGAAGATCACTATAGCTGTTCTCCAGGCCTTGGGGACATACCCGTGTGCCAGACAGCTTCTGAAGATCTTCAGGAGATGTAGAATGAGGATGTCCAGTCCCTGTTGTGAAAGGGCCGGACAGATTCCATCCTCACCTGGTGATTTGAAGGGTGAAAAGGATTCGATTGCCCATTCCACTCTGTCATATGTTACAATTTTTGAGGCTATCGTGAAGTCGATCCGAGCTTCGACTGAGGTGACAGCCTCAGAATCAGGCTGCAGAAAGGTGCAACCTGGAAAGTGCGTGGAAAGCATATGCTGTAGCGTCCCTCCATCCGATGAGGTGTAGCTCCCATCGGGAAGGGTCACCGTCCCCAGCTTAGCCCTCGGGTCCTTGGAGAGAACTTTGTTGAGCCTTGCCGCCTCAGGAACAGTATTTATTCCTTGGCAGTACGCTCTCCACGAGTCCCTGCGAGCATCGCGGATCGCTCTTTTGAATTCCCTCTGGGCCAGTTTGTACTCTTCCCAGTGGGCCCGTTTTTCTGTTCTTTTGGCTTTATTCAACAGCTTTCGGACTTTCTTCCGATGGAGTTCAATTTTTGAATTCCACCATGGTGTTTTGCCTAGACAGTCTGTCCTTTTCAGGGGACAGCTGGCTTCGTATGCTTCGACTATGGCAGAATTGAGACATCCTACGAATGTCTCTATTTCTGCTTCAGAGCCATGTCGTGATGGCATGTTCCAGAGTCTACCTTCAAGCTCCTCTTGGTAGAGGTTCCATTTGGTAGCTCTGGGGTTTCTGAACCATCGGTTTTCCTCTTGGATATGGCCTGTTACTGAAAACAATATATGACGGTGATCAGACAGACTTTCCTCCGTCGACACACGCCAGTTACTGACCCTACCTGTTAGCTCTGTTGAGCATAACGTCAAGTCAACGATTGTCCGCGCTATAGGCGTGAAATATGTTGGCACTGTTCCTCTATTGAGGATCTCCAGATTACTGGAGCTCAGAAATTCCAGAAATGCCCTTGCCTCTCGGATTGACGTCGCGATTCCCCCACAGTGTATGATGCGAGTTCGCGTCGCATCCAATCATCAAGGGCAGTCCCATCTCCTCACAGTGCCTTACAAGACTCCCTACCTCAGGAGGAGGGTTTGCCATTTCGTAAGGGAAGTAGGCTGAGCATACTATAATGTCACTCATGCTTCCCTCTGTTGTACTGTTAACCTTGATTCTGATCGCTACCAGGTCTCTGTAGCAGAATCCTGGTAGCATAGTCGCGTTAACACCTTTCGCGTATATGCATGCTCTTGGCTTCGGGCTAGAGGTGCTGTAATACAGTGTTCCTCCCGCTTGCCCCATTCCTCTCACTCTGTCTTGGTGTACCCAAGGTTCCTGAATGAGTGCCAGATTTATTTTGAGCTCCCTTAACCTCCTGCATAGGAGAGCCGTGGAGGCTCTCCCATGCTGTTAGTTAGCCTGCAGAAAGCTCAGGGAAAAGGACTTATGGGTCGCCATTTGATGGCCTAGTCGCTCTTCCCGTCCGGAGGGGCATGGCTTTCGCCACGTCCCTCTTCTTCCGGACTTCTCTCCACCAGAGGACGACCTGGGCCGTCCTCTGTCAGAGTTGTGTCCTCTGCTGTCTCAGAGGCATCCATTTCTACGGACGCCTCTGGCTTCTCTCCTTCTCGGTCTTCCTTGGACCCCCAGCTCACCTGTGCCCGCGAGGCACTGAAGAACAAAGAGCCCCCAGCCTCCTCGATAGCTGCTATGGACTTACTGTCCATCCCAACCATCAACGTTAGACCGCGTTTTTCCTCCCTCCTGTTCCAGACTCTCCACTGAGAGGTGGACAGGTTGGGATTCTGCCTTTCCAGGACACTCAGTATGTCCTGGTTAGGCAGCCTCCCTGGAATTCTAACAACGGTCCTTTGGAGCCTGAATTGCTCTGGGTCGATGGCAACCAGAGTTACGCCCTCCCAGGGTCTGATTTCTGTCAGACTCCTGAGGAGCCAATCTCTGGAGGCCTCGTTTGCTGCGGTTACCAGCAGTTGCCTACGCCATAACCGCGTTGATGTGAACTGCGGGGGTAGATCATTGGACGCCGTTGGCGTCCCCATGATCACCCCTCCAACAGCATCTAGGAACTCCAGCATCTGGTCCTCAGTAAATTCCGCTTCAGGTTGCCCTTCGCGGCTGATGACCACCTGCAGGGTCCTATCTGCGGCTGCCACCTGCGAGTAGCTTGGCTGCCCCGTATGCGTCCGCCCTGCGTCTACAGTACCAGACCGGGGTCGCTTCGCCACTCGCGAGGTGTCAGTCGGTGTGGAACCCGGCGTGCGGCTCCGTTTTGTTGATTGCGTCATTCCTGACGCATTGTTCTTGGCCTTGACAGCCTTAGGGTGCACAGCAGGTTTACCTTCTGCAGTGGATCTCCTTTGAGGCCCACCACTTCCAGGTTTCCCTTGCGCTCCCCTAAGGTCATCCTTAGGCCGTCTCTCGGCCACTGTTTTCGCGCCAAGGAATTTCGAGGAAGTTCCCTGAGAGGACGAAGGCGCTTTGATTGCTTCCTTTTCCCTCTCTTTCTTCCTCCTCTTCCTTTCAGCACCACAGGGCCTTTTCACCTTAACCTTCGAGAAATCCGAGGCCAGATCAGACACGTCCGAGTCTCGAGAGAGATCCTCGGATGTGCCGGGTTTTGACGAGGGGTCAGTTTCAGGTCGCCTGGGTGGCAGCCTCCAGGGTTGAGGGAGGAGTGGAGGTCATCGATGTGACGTTCTCCTGTGCTGGGTGTTGGGAGGTCTCCTCAGTGGATACCTCCCGGGCAGGGGTTTTGTTAGACTCCGAAGAGTCTTCCGAGGACGAGATTTGACCACCTCGTCGAGGTTTTTCTTTTGTTGTTTTATTGTGGTCCATGTTGTTCCCACGAGTAAGGGGGACATAAAGGTCGCCACACGCGGTGCCCTCTGCACGTGTGGAAGGCTTTATAAAACTGGGTGCGCCTGTTTCCCAGAGTTTTGCCGCTAATGGTCGAGTTCCCCTCGACCATCCATCCCTTCGGCGCGCACAATACCTTAGGATTAGGGGAGGTTTTTAGAGTGGCCTCACCACGCGGCCCAGGCGATTAAGCCAAGACCCCCGTGCCCCTCGTGACGCATACCACCGGACACCATGGCGTCCTGTGGGTCGTTGCAATCACGAACGGTTTACGGTTTGTGCCGTGGGCTGGTCCGCGGTGGTAGATTTTGGCAAAGAATTTTGGAAGTTTTTAGGCCTCCGCACCCTACGTATAGCTACCACTAACCAAGGCCGTGAGGCCCTGGCCGTCCTCCTATCCGCCACCTTGGAGACGCGCCTTTAGGTTATGCCCAAACCCAAGGAATAGAATACATGTGAGATGATTGAATATAGAGTGTGCACACCGATAAAGTCGATGTATCTTCATCTGCCTATTGTACTTGCTATATACACTCTGAAGTCGTCTCATATGGTCACTGCGATCATATCTGCGTCAACTGTTTGCATGTCAGATGCTAGACTGCAGAGGTTCAATGTAAAGATAGTCGAAGTCGATGTTTCTTGTTCTGCAAGCTGTATGCTTTAAACCCGCTTGGGAGTCGTTTTATATGGTCAATGCTAACTTGTCTGCTTCGACAAAGTCCATGTGAGATGATAGGAAAGAGAGATATAGTGTGCACGACGATGATAACGATGTATCTTCATTTGCCTATTGTTCTCGTAATATACCGTTCAGAGTCGTGCCATACGGTCACTACCATCGAATCTGTTTCATCTGTATGTATGTCAGATTTTAGACTGCAGAGTCACAGTGTGAACATAGTCGAAGTCGGAGTTTCTTGTTTTGCAAGCTGTGTGCGATTTACCCGCTTGGAAGTCATCTTATATGGTCAATGCAAACTTGTCTGCTCCAATAGTGCCCATGTGAGATAATAGGAAAGAGAGATATTGTGTGCACGACGATTAAAACGATGAAACTTCATTTGCCTATTGTTCTCGTTATATACCCTTCAGAGTCGTCTTATACGGTCACTTTCATCGTATCTGCTCCAACTCTATGCATGTCAGATTTCAGACTGCAGAGTTACAGTGTAATTAAAGTCGAAGTCGAAGTTTCTTGTTGTGCATGTTTTGTGCGTCATACCCGCTTGTAAGTCGTCTCATATGGTCATTGCGTACTCGTCTGCTTCAATAGTATCATTGTGAGATGATAGGTTAGAGAGATTGAGTGTGCACACCGATGAAATCGATGTACCTTCAACTGCCTGTTTTACTTGCTATATACACTCAGAAGTCGTCTCATATGGTCACTGCGAACATATCTGCTTCAACTGTATGCATGTCAGATGCTAGACTGCAGAGTTACAATGTGAACAAAGTCAAAGTCGATGTTTCTTGTTCTGCAAGATGTGTGCGTTATACCCGCTTGGAGATCGTCTTATATGGTCATTGCGAGCTTGTCTGCTCCAATTGTGTCCATGTGAGATGAAAATATAGAGAGAGATATGGTGTGTACGACGATGGAGTCGATGTATCCCCATTTGCCTGTTGAACTCGCTCTATACCCTACAGAGTCGTCTTATATGGTCACTGCAATCGTATCTGCATAAACTGTATGCATGTCAAATTCAAGACTGCAGAGTTACAGTGTGAACAGAGTCAAAGTCGGAGCTTCTTGTTCTGCAAGCTGTGTGCGTTATACCCTCTTGAAAGTCGTCTTATATGGTCACTGCAATCGTATCTGCATCAACTCTATGCATGTCAGATTCGAGAATGCAGAGTTACAGTGTAAACATAGTCAAAGTCGAAGTTTCTTGTTCTGCAAGTTGTGTGCGTTATACCCGCTTAGGAATCGTCCCATATGGGCATTGCGAACTCGTTTGCTTCAATAGTATCTATGTGAGATGTTAGGATAGAGATATAGAGTGTGCTCACCGACGAAGTCAATGTATCTTCATCTGCCTATTGAACTCGTTATATACCCTCCAAAGTCTTCTTATACGGTCATTGCAATCGTATCTGCTCCAACTGTATGCACGTCAGATGCTAGACTGCAGAGTTACAGTGTTAACATAGTCGAAGCGAAGTTTCTTGTTCTGCAAACTGTATGCGTTATACCCGCTTCAAAGTCGTCTTATATGGTCAATGCAAACTCGTCTGCTTCAATAGTGTCAATGTGAGATGATAGGATAGAGGGATATAGTGTGCAAAACGATGAAGTCGATGTATCTTGGTTCGCGTTTTGTACTCGTTATATACCCTTCAAAGTTGTCCTTCACGGTCAATGCAATGGTATCTGCTTCAACTATATGCATGTCAGATGCTAGACTGCAGAGTTACAGTGTGAACATAATCGAAGTCAAAGTTTCTTGTTCTGCAAGTTGTGTGCGATATACCTGCTTGGAACTCGTCCTATATGGTCACTGCAATCGTATCTGCTCCAACTGTATGTATGTATGGTCAATGCAAACTCGTCTGCTTCAATAGTGTCAATGTGAGATGATAGGATAGAGGGATATAGTGTGCAAAACGATGAAGTCGATGTATCTTGGTTCGCGTTTTGTACTCGTTATATACCCTTCAAAGTTGTCCTTCACGGTCAATGCAATGGTATCTGCTTCAACTGTATGCATGTCAGATGCTAGACGGCAGAGTTACAGTGTTAACAAAGTCGAAGTCGAAGTTTCTCGATGTGCAAGTTGTGTGCGTTATATTCGCTTTGAAGTCGTCTCATATGGGCATTGCCTACTCGTTTGCTTCAATAGAATCCATGTGAGATGATTGAATAGAGAGTGTGCACACCGATAAAGTCGATGTATCTTCATCTGCCTATTGTATTTGCTATATACACTCCAAAGTCGTCTTATATGGTCACTGCGATCATATCTGCTTCAACTGTATGCATGTCAGATGCTAGACTGCAGAGGTTCAATGTAAACATAGTCGAAGTCGATGTTTCTTGTTCTGCAAGCTGTATGCGTTAAACCCGCTTGGAAGTCGTCTCATATGGTCAATGCTAACTTGTCTGCTTCGACAAATTCCATGTGAGATGATAGGAAAGAGAGATATAGTGTGCACGACGATGATAACGATGTATCTTCATTTGCCTATTGTTCTCGTGATATACCGTTCAGAGTCGTCTCATACGGTCACTACCATCGTATCTGTTTCATCTGTATGCATGTCAGATTCTAGACTGCAGAGTCACAGTGTGAACATAGTCGAAGTCGGAGTTTCTTGTTCTGCAAGCTGTGTGCGATTTACCTGCTTGGAAGTCATCTTATATGGTCAATGCGAACTTGTCTGCTCCAAAAGTGCCCATGTGAGATAATAGGAAAGAGAGATATAGTGTGCACGACGATGAAAACGATGAATCTTCATTTGCTTATTGTTCTCGTTATATACCCTTCAGAGTCGTCTTATACGGTCACTTCCATCGTATCTGCTTCAACTCTATGCATGTCAGATTCTAGACTGCAGAGTTACAGTGTAATTAAAGTCGAAGTCGAAGTTTCTTGTTGTGCATGTTTTGTGCGTCATACCCGCTTGTGAGTCGTCTCATATGGGCATTGCAAACTCGTCTGCTTCAATAGTATCAATGTGAGATGATAGGTTAGAGAGATAAAGTGTGCACACCGATGAAGTCGATGTACCTTCAACTGCCTGTTTTACTTGCTATATACACTCAAAAGTCGTCTCATATGGTCACTGCGATCATATCTGCTTCAACTGTATGCATGTCAGATACTAGACTGCAGAGTTACAATGTAAACAAAGTCAAAGTCGGTGTTTCTTGTTCTGCAAGATGTGTGCGTTATATACGCTTGGAAGTCGTCTTATATGGTCATTGCAAGCTTGTCTGCTTCAATTGTGTCCATGTGAGATGAAAATATAAAGAGATATAGTGTGTACGACGATGGAGTCGATGTATCCCCATTTGCCTGTTGTACTCGCTATATACCCTCTAGAGTCGTCTTATATGGTCACTGCAATCGTATCTGCATAAACTGTATGCATGTCAAATTCAAGACTGCAGAGTTACAGTGTGAACAGAACCAAAGTCGAAGCTTCTTGTTCTGCAAGCTGTGTGCGTTAAACCCTCTTGGAAGTCGTGTTATATGGTCACTGCAATCGTATCTGCATCAACTGTATGCATGTCAGATTCGAGAATGCAGAGTTACAGTTTAAACATAGTCAAAGTCGAAGTTTCTTGTTCTGCAAGTTGTGTGCGTTATACCCGCTTAGGAATCGTCCCATATGGTCATTGCGAACTCGTGTGCTTCAATAGTATCTATGTGAGATGGTAGGTAGAGATACAGAGTGTGCTCACCGACGAAGTCGATGTATCTTCATCTGCCTATTGAACTCGTTATATACCCTCCAAAGTCATCTTATACGGCCATTGCGATCGTATCTGCTTCAACTGTATGCATGTCAGATGCTAGACTGCAGAGTTACAGTGTAAACATAGTCGAAGTCGAAGTTTCTTGTTTTGCAAGTTGTAAGTGTTATACCTGCCTGGAAGACGTCTCATATGGGCATTGCGAACTCGTCTGCTCCGATAGTAACCATGTGAGATGATAGGATAGAGAGATATAGTGTGCACAACTATGAAGTCGATGTATCTTCATTTGCCTATTGAACTCGTTATATACCCTTCAGTGTCATCTTATACGGTCATTGCAATCGTATCTGCTTCAACTGTA